GTAGCTTCTTTTTATATAATTCTTCCTGAATTAAGAGCGACTTGATCATTGAGGGCTCTAACTTAGGGCCCTCGACATCATCTGGTGAGGATGACATCTTATTAATTTTTGCCTTAGCTTTTTTGACTACGGCATGTGTAATTGCACTCCAGGTTTGTTTAGTACCTGCTCTGTGCGTATCAGTCAAGATTACTCTTGCATCTGTCTTTAATTCCGCCGCCTTTGCAAAAATGCGATGACGTGCAGTGGCACAAGCTACCTCAATGGTAGGTAAGCCTAATTCCCAGGATACTTGTGCAAAGTTTAATTTGCACTTTTTCCGTGGGAGTTCCAGGACCATACGTAGGGCCCGGTTAATCTCTTCTTGAATCGGCGCAGTGCGCTCCTTATTCATTCCAAACCATTCTCCACCGTACAACGCGGTTGGGATGACATAGGTTTTCATCAACAAGATTTTTTCAGTGATAGGCTTTCGCCTATCTGTGAGGAAGCAGGTAAACTGGTTGACTCTTTGCCTCACCTTTGCAGCTACAGTCCGGGCATATATGGTTTCCTCATCATAACCTATTCCCAAGGAGTCACCAATAGGGATTCCGAGGTACACATATGATCTTTCCGCATATACTTTTCCGTCTGTAAGGGAGAAATGTCTTTTCTCGACTTCTCCGTCTAATGGTGTAGGAGCTCCGTACGTTTTGTAGAAGAGTTCCCTTTTGAGGGGGTCCTCCTCACCGTACATCACAACTGCACATTTAGCGTGCCCAATTTTCAGGGTTTGCCATTTGATCACCCATTCAGAAATGATTCGACATCCTTCCTCGAGATCCTCAATAGAGTCAAAGAATGCTGCGGCATCATCTGCGTACAACTTTCCTTTATCCGTGAAGTTCCCTCCAGCTGTCTTGATCCCAGGTACTACGACTCCGGGCAACTTTTTGAACAGGTCATTTATAAAAATGATGAATAGAAGAGGGGAAAGGGGGCAACCCTCCTTTGTGCCAACTTCCATGGAGTAGCTTGGTGAGAGCTCATCTCCTGTACGGATTCTGAACTCGCTATTTTCATAAGCAGCGTTCAAGAAACCAATGACATTTTCGGGAATCCCAAGATGTCTGAGCTTTTTCCATAGTGCTTCATGTGGCACGCTGGGAAATGCTTTCTGAAAATCGATGAAGAGTGCATATGTCTTTTTACCAACATTTGCTCTTCTTCGAACAACTTCTGTTAAACAGATGAATTGTGAAATCCCTTCTTCATTTCTCCTAAAACCACCTTGATCCTCGGAGAAGAAATCCTTTTCATTAAGAATACGGCTCATTCGATCCTCCAAGATGGTCATAGTCAATTTGTTAAAGGCAGTCGAGAGTGTTATACCTCTTCGATTGGTTAATTCAACCGGATCTTTATTCGGTTTGGATAATGAGACAACCACATTTTTATTATCAGCCGCGGCCGGGCGGCCCATTTCTAGCGACTTGTTAATAATTAGCAATGCGTATTGTCCTGCAGGCGTCACCAACTGAGAATAGATGTCTTTAATAGGCACCGGGTGGTAGAAAGTACCCGCATTGGTCTTGACCTGCTCTAATTTGTCTGACGTGACCTTGACCGGGACAAGCAGATTTTGTGCGTCCCATTTCCATGAGACAACACCATCTGGACCTCAGTAGATCTCCGCCGGACTCTCAGTGTTTGAGAATAATTTCTTAAGAAGAGCTTTCCGCGTGAGTTCGGGTGAAGTATGTTGGTCAAGCGCCGCATTTAGCATCCCAACAAACTGTCCTCGCTCGTGCTTCAAAATCTCCTTGAAGAGGCTTGGGGGGAGGTTATCGTTACCACAAGCTGCATTAGGGTTAAGTCTGCTACAAGCTGACAAAAACTCCTGTGGGCTGACTTCAGACCCAATAATTCCGCAATCAAGAGGTTCATCCTCACAAGTGAGGTTCTCCCAAAAGACGGGGTCCTTGGAAACGTTTGTAGAGTCCAAAGCTAATCGACTAAAGTGTTCATACTCTGCATGGTTGATGTCACTTTCAGTCACACATAATGCCCCTTTTGCATTCATGCAAGGGATTGGTTGGCTTTTACGCTTCCCAAAATGATCAGGTAATCTACGCTTAATTTCCTTGTGGTATTCAAGCATGTCATGACCTCTTAGTAGCTCGACGGCCTTTTGCTGGGTTTGAGCTTTTTGCTCTTTCTCAAACTTACGGATAGCCACCGAAGCATGTCGGGAGGCTTCCTCAGCAATTCTAGCGCGTCTAATCAGTTCGGAGACTGGAGTAGCTACCTTATTGACTTGAAGATATTTATCTTTAGCTTTTCGAGCCGCACTCAAAAGTCTAGCAATCTGACGGGGGTAGTGAGACTTGCGTCCTACTGCACCAGTCTTAAGAATGCCAATGTCTTCTGCTGCTTTCTCAAGGCACTGTTGATAATTATCCCGCATCTCATCTAATTCACTTGTTTCATTGAAACCCTCCCAAGCATCATTAACTAG